CTCGATAAATAAATGTATTTTGATGGAATTTTGGAAATTTGTGTTTCACGAATTTAATACTACGAAATAATAATAAATGTTATCAACTTTCAGATAAAATGAGAGTTACAAAAATTGAAAAGATGGAAATTGATAGTATAATATTAGAAAAATAGATAATATTTTTCAACAAATAAGGGATTAATGTTCCTCTCATCAAGGATCAATTGTCGAAATACATTAAAACAAAAGTTTTGATAACGAAGAGGAAAATGGATAACGATAATTGGAAATGAGAAAAGATGCTTTAGAAATTATGTTTCTGAATAATATTTGGATGGAAATTAATGTTTCTTTAATAAACGGACGTTCAATGTTCCTTTATTCATAATTTGTTCCTACACCAATTGAAGTAGATATTTTGCAAATGAACATAGTGAGAAACTCTATAGAATGGAATGAGATCTTAATTTCAAGTAACTCTTAAATGGAGAAATATTTTGAAAATTGAAAACTTGCGTAATTCGATGAAAAGGAAATGAGGAAGTAAATACAATTACCGTTATAATTAAATGTAATCGGATAAAATCTTCGAGAAATGTATAAATAAATTCAAATGAAAATTATGAAAATCAAAGAAAATTGAACTTAGAAGAGAAACCATTATTTTAGACAAATTGAGAAGCACAATTTTGCATCTCTTAATTATCTCAGTTTTATCTCTTTATATTTATTATTCAATTTGCATTTTGGATCAAAATAAGTATTGTTTATTTACAAAAAGCTCTATTCTACTTACATCTTCGTGTAAAACTACTTTGCTAGAGAAAATTTCTCTAAAAATAAATTATTAGGATAGAAATATTTTTAATGAAAATTACTCGGTGAAAAAGAATTTCTCTGAGAAAAATAAACAGTTTGAAAAAATATTTTCACGGAGAGAAATATCAATAATTGTATTCATCCATTCTAGTTTAAAATTAAATTTATTATATTTACCTTTAAATTAAAAATGAAAATTAAAAATACCTGAAAATTAAAAATAAGATTTTAACGATAGATAATAATTTACCGAAACTAATGACATTAATTAATTAAATTATATAACTAAAATATACAAAGAATTAAAATCAAAATTATCAATTTATCTTACGATTCATTTTTTTTTTTTTAGAATCTTAAATTCTAATTAATATAAAATGTAACGAGACCACGGTTTACAATTAAGACAAAAATATGAAATGAAACACGAATTCAGTGAGAAGGAAACGAAACTTGAGACTGTTCCAAGAAAATTCGTTTTCGACGGCGCGCGCACACATACAGGTTATAATGAAACGAAAACAAGATTTCCTTCGAGTTCATCGAGTGTCCACGGTATAAGCTACCAAGGGACTGAAACTGACCAATCCTATCTTATCCCGATGACTATGGTGATGAATAAAACAGGATGGTAACGCCAAGGAAATCATACCGACGAGATTCTTACCTCCACTCTTTCTCTCTCTCTTTCTCTCTTTCTCATTCCATATTTCTCCTCTTCGTCTTACTCGTTTCGTTTATTCGCTCTTTCTCTCGTATCGTCTTTCTTTCTCTTCTCGTTTCTTACATTTCTCTACATTCGAACTTTCTGATCGCTGAAAGCAAGGAAGAGCTTTTTCCTTCGTGGCAAGCCTTCTGATCAAGGAGGAGCAACGGCAAAGAGGAAATAGGAGAGAAGGGAGGGGAGGGAGACCTTCTTTCGGAATTATGGATTTAACAGGGTTGCAGGGTTGCCTCTTTGTGAACGCTTTAGGCAGGTTTAATTAAAATTGTCAGCAATATGAACCTCGTTGCAGTTTCGAAACGATGTTTGATGGATGCTCCTTAATCTTGGGCGAACAATTTTAAGTTATTGGGAATTTTGAGGGTAAATTTTAAAGTTCATCTTTGATACAATTCGAAGAGTTTAGAGAGACGATGATATAGAAATATATATCGAGCTCTATTCTCGCAACGCAAATTGATTTTAATAATTTAATCAAGTGACTTGTATTTGAGTCACGAAGAACTCTCTGAACTTTGGAAACGAATAATTCAAAAAGTTTCCAGTATTTGCCCTTATACACGTATACGTGATTTGTAAAGCGGAAGAATCCTGCTACGTGCCCTAAAAGTTTCAGCTGAGATCGATATCCCAAACTTCGAAACCTACTCTTCACGTCCAACGAAACAGATAAAGGAACATATACGATTTAAACTTTTTGCTATAAATCGCCACGATGATTTCACCGCGCCGATAAATCTTTTAAAAAAAACGATTCCCTCGAGGAATTAAATTAAATTAAAATCCCATCATGATCCAGAAATATAACATATTTACAGATTAAGAATAAATATATTAAAATAATTTATATTTCATATAATATTGCTCAAGAATTATTTGCATTGTCAAAACAATATAATAATTTATCTTTACATTCATCATTCGAATAATATTATTTAAAATAAAATAACAACAACATCCACAATGTCGAAAAATATATTCGTCGTGTATAGAAGTTCATCTCGAATTATCCCAGGGCGATCGATCCTCATCAATTCGAATCATCAATCTTCGAACATCGAAGGAAAGAGGCGAAATCTCTGCACGCTTCTCTTCTCCCTCTTTTCTCTTTCTCTCAGGCGAGACACGCGTACACACACGTGTATTGTCCACGTCTATCTACCTGGGATCGTTTCTGACCCCAATTCGACCACCAATTCCCCTGCTCAGACCCTTTTGTTTCAAACCAGTTCTCGCGTTTCCACACAAGCGGAGGTCCTTGGAGCTCTACTTCCGGTGTACGTGCCTTTATTCCATCAATTCCACTTTCTATACCATCCTGCACGTCGTCGATTTCTTCCCTCTCCAAAAATGGATACTTTCTATTCCACGAGGGTTTTCTTTTCGAAAGTTTCGAAAGAGGTTCACGACGAATAGTGAGAGAGGATAATGATGTTGTTCTTTAAGAAATTGAAGGGACTTTATCTTCGATGTGTGCGATTGGGCTGGAGATTTTTACTTTTCGAACTACATCATCCTAATAAAAATTGTTTAAAATGAAAAAAAAATAATTTATCGGTAGATAAATTTTAAAAATTCTATTTTATTTATCTGCCATTTTACTGCCATTGCCTCTTACTTACCACGATTTTTAACTTCTAATCTCGAAATTAAATTGTAAAAATTAATTTCAATTTTCCCCAGAAACGAGGAAAATTCCAAATCAATAGAGATTTAAATGAAACATATTCTTTCGAAGAAACATCACGCTCGTTGAACGCACGTATTTCCCCTTAAGTACCTTTCCTTGTCGGATTTTCGTGGCGAAACAGGAGCACGGTGAAACGAGAGACACGAGAATCTTCCGTAATTAAAGACGGATTGAAATTTTAAAGCGGCATTCGAAACACGACGTTGGCCACGATAATTGCTTCGAAACCAATGAACTCCTCGAGCTCCTGGCTGTTCGAAATTCGGAACCTTCCTTTTTTTTTTTTTTTTTTTTTTTTTCACGCGCGGATATCTTTTTCGAAGTATTTGCGCCAGGAAATCGTTCCATTGAACGAATTAACCTTTTATCCATCGATATCACTTCACCGAGACGAGTTTTTTAGATTCGAGATAGAGAAGGGGAGGATGGAAGAGTATTTCCAGAACATTCTGTGTGTAAGAAATGTGGAAGAAAATAATGGCCTCGTACGAGGAATAACCTGTGGTAAATTGGAATCGCACGATCGTGCCCAATTCGATGGAAGCCGATACTTTCGCATTATACGAACCTATAATTGGAGAGATTTTTCTCGAATCTATTTGTTTTCATCTTCTATCCGATGATATTTGGATATATCCGTGGAATAATGAAGAATATTTTCTTCTCTTGTGTGTGGATAATTAGATCGGGTTTTTTTATTATCTCTCGTAATAATAATATTAATTGATTCACATTTTCTCTTGATTGATATGAAAATAGATTGATCTGAAATTAGTCAGAAATTTGAAGAAGGGAAGCAATCTATTTTACGAAAATAGAGAAATTTTCTTTTGATTGGCTGCACAATTGCAGAAGATTTTTTTTTTGTGCAGAGGAATGTCTTCAGAGATTTATACCTTCTTTCTAATCGATTGACAAATTTCCAAATATTAAATTTGAAACGAAAATAAGAAAAGTTGCCGATTTATTGTTGCAATTTCTACAACAAATTCTTTCAACTTGCGAAATCAGTCGAAAGCTTAATCTCGACTTATCTAACTTTACAAAAAGTAAGAAAATCCAAGATCAGAGGAGAACCACCAAGTCTTCCCTTTTACGAACTTCGAAACTTCCTATCCCTACATCCTGTTAAACTTTGCCAATTCTTATACAATCTACACTAAAATCAATCGAGGATTATAGAATATCTCTCTCCTCTCGTGCATGAATTTTTTTATCTTTTTTTCTTCTCATTTATTTCAACAAACTACCCTGAAATTTATTATCTCCCTTTCCACTTTTTATATTTTGTCCATACTAAAATTCAACAACGAAGGACTATTATAGATTTGCTGTCCAATTTTGTATCTCTTCTTCTTCTATTCTCTTCTTGTAGTTAATTCTAGAAAAAGCTTCTTCTGTCTGAAATGAAACCACTTATTTAGGATTGTTTTTCCAAATAAAAAAAAAATCATACAAACATCCATCCCAGATATTGAATCACGAATATCTATCTATTTCAAAATCTTTAGTCGAGTTTCTTTCTATCCTCCAAAATATCGAACCTCGACTCTAACCTCGACTCGGTTGTCACACATATTCTTTACTTAATCTGAATCTAATTGAATCGGCCTTTGTTCAAAAAAAAAAAAAAAGAGACAATAAAATTCAAAGAAACATTTCCCGAAATTCTCGGAATTCTCTCCCCTCTCGACAACCGAGGGCGAGAGAGGAAGGCTCGAGACAGTTGACCAGACGGGGGTGAGACAGTTCTGCCCTGTCTCACCCTGTCCATCATCCATCCAGGACCACGTTGGGCCCTGGTTAGATCGGGTGATTCGGGGCGGCGGGGATGGTGCAGACGGCGGGGCGCGGTGAAAAGTGACGATGGGCCCGCGCGAGGCGCGGCAGCCAGCGAAGACGTGGTGCGCGGCGTCGATCGTTCGTTCGCTCGACGATGCAGTGATCGTGGTTCCCGTGGAGAAGTGAAAGGACGGGAGGTACGATGCATCACTCCGGCGGAACCGGTTACGGGACCGGTCCCCAGGAGAGGGTGCACCAGGCGCCGCGAGCAGCCGGCCAACCTGACAAGTGCCCGTACGAGACCTACCAGGCGCAGATACCCGACTGCTGTGCGGCCGCAGCCGCGGTCCAGGACCCGTACCCACGCCCGCCCAGCGGATATGATGGCAGGTGCTACGACGAGTGTCATCGCAGGACCCCCTACCAGGAGGACGCCTATCCTCAGGTACGTAGTGCTCGTAGCTTCGAGTCGAGTGATCGTAATCGTAGATAATGTGCGGAAGAGATTCGATAAAAGAAGATAAAAATTATAAGAAGATAAAAATGTAACAATCCCTTTGATCGAATTTCGAGATTCTTTCCAGGAAGGAATCGTTCTTGCCTCGATTATTCCCTCCTCTTTGTTAACGTCGCGCGCGCTAAAATTAAATTTAATTTTCGGTTTATAGGGGGAGGGGGGCGTACCCCTTTCTTTAATTGGGCGGGATAGAATTGAACGAGTTCGTCGCGCGATCCTCTCGATCCTGATATTTACGATTATTGCACGCTGGAAATTAAATTTCCCGCGTTGGGGGAAGGAGGAGGGGAAGAGGGTTAATTAGCGGCGGGGAGAGGGGAAACTTTAAAGCCGCTGATGATTCAGCGGGGTGGAAACTTTGTTCGATAGTCTGACGCCAGGCAATATGAGCCATTTCGGCTTAACTAATTCCAAGACCCGCTCCCCTCCCCGTGTGGTGCGGGGTTGGGGAGTAGTTGGTGCAACGTTAAAGACTTACATCGACCTTACGCGGCCCTGAAACGCTTCTAATTGGGGCATTAATTCGGAGCACCTGGGGCTAATTTCTTGGACGATTATTGTTCAGTGTTCGTTGGCGATTTTATGGAATCTGGCCAGAGGTTTAGACGGGATGTAAATGTTATTACAATGCTCTTCTGATATCTCTTGTTAATCAAGAAGTTAGAGAATAATATTTTATTCATTACTTTTTTGCCGGAAAGGATAATAATAATAATGGTTAGAGATAAATAAAAATAATAAATAAAATCAAGTAAAATATGTTGGAGCAATAGAATAATAATTATTGCAAGTACTTTAGTAGTACTTTATTACTAACTATTACTTTATTAATAACTTAAATTGTATTTTTTAATAGAAAACAAAAAATAATCAGACATTATCTTACTTGAATTATTGCAAGATAAGTGATACAGGTCTGGCTTTGTCCTACGAGTAGAATAGGGCAATTATTGGCGAGCCGATGGAATAGAGCATGGCCTCGTATTCAGACTAGCACTAGCCAGCCACGCAAGCCAAGAGATCAAGTGGAATAGACCAGCCATATATACCAGTCATAGTCAGACGGAAGAAATATATGCGTATAATCGCGAACAGACAATCAGTTGGTTAAAAAACGAGAAGCGTGTTTATCAAACAAATCGACGACGATGAAGTAGAGGAAAATGAATGAAAAATTCGTGATAGTAATCCGCCTATTCCCTGAGTCATCGGTTTCCACATTCTTCTTTCCTTTAAGCACAACGTGGTGCCATCCTCGTTTCAATGAAACCTCTCGTTCTCGTTTTTAAAATTCCTAAGCAACGCGCGAGCCACGTACATTTACTTTGATCCTCGTTTCAGCGAGCATTACTACTCGTCGTCTATTTCGTTGCACCTAAAATTAACGATATGCGCATATTGCTTTGAGCTTGAGTAATATTAACGCGGCTGCGTTTCATGGAAACGCGTCGTTACGCCTTAAACTATTCCCACTGTTATACATATTTTCCGAGTGTTACTCGTTCGCCCTCCACCGAGTTTCCAAGTAACAGTTGTTAATGAACAGAAAGGTTTTGTGAAATTATGATTGCCAAGAAGAACGAGTTATACGCTTTGTCGTCGTATTATTAAAAGAGAAGTACATGAGAATTTGTATTTTTCTTATTTTGTTTTTTATTTTTTCTCTCTCTCTCCTTTCTTTTACGCATCCTTTGATTATTGAAAATTCCGCGGTGAAAATCGGGTGAAACGAGATGAGACGAAATCAAATAGATGCAATTAGAAAGTATTAATAATTTTAAATTCGTTGATCAAATATTGGGCGATGAAATAAAATATGTTAATATGAAAGAATGCAAATGAAACTCTCTCTCTCTTTCTCTTTGATGAAAAAGTGATGGATTATTAAGATAAAAATTGGTTAAAATGAATTGAAACTAATGAAATAATCTTCTGGCTGGTTGGTTTGAATGGATATGAGATTAAAACGTGATAATCGTTTCATTTTTAATTAAAAATAAATAAAGGATAAATAAAATAAAGAATTAAATAAGTTTATTATGATTCTTTGATGAAAAAATCTTGTAGATTTATAATTAAGGTTGTGCAAGGTAAACAATTATAAATTAAATAATCCATTCAAATGTATTTCATATGAAAGACATATATTCTAAAATATATATTAAAATTTTCATTTCATTCAAAATTAACTTTCATAAAAGATTACAAAAACTAATTATTTTAATCTTTACTAATTTTTATGGCGATTAACTGTTGTTTTTTTTTGTATTTAAGCATATTCAATACTTTAAATAATAAAAATCTTAAATTTGGGAAGAGTATATTCTTTCTCTGAAATTTATCAAGTAATAGTTGAAGTATGTATTGAAAATACAAAAGAAAAGACCACTTGTAACGTTATTCATAAACGAGTGGCTTTTAGAGGTCAATTGGATATGAAATAACGAGCTATATTTCTCAAATATTTTGCATATATTTATATCACCTTATATAGCAGATCAAAGATAAATCATTTATTAATCTATAATCGATTTACATTTTATTACATTGATAATATGATCACAGGAGAGTATAGAAATTCAATCAAATTTTATCAAATAAAAAAGATTACTTTATTACTTTGTTAATAACTTAAATTGTATTTTTTAATAGAAAACAAAAAATAATCAGACATTATCTTACTTGAATTATTTGAATGCAATGTATTAAAATTTGGAACCTCTTTGGTAAAATTTTGTTTCATTTCCAACCTTTGCATCATATACACGATAATATCTCATTTTATTGGAAACAGATACATTTCTCACCCGTTCTAAAATATCTAAACGAAAAGAATCACGATCCTTCCTTACCGTTTTCACGACCCAATTGTCAGTCGAAGTGCTACCGTTACATCCAATATCAGAGGAATATTCATCACTGTCAACAATATTCGTCGTGAATCGTAACGTTGTACCGATTTAGAAAAAAAAAAAAAAAAAGAAAAAAAAAAGAAAAAGAAAAAAAGGAAAATAGAAATAAAGAGAGAGAGGGGGGGGAATATATTTCAAAAGGGAGTGAAAAAAATTGTTTTTCTCCCCATACTCTTCCACGACCTGGTTGTCAAGTGAAGTGTATCGTTACGTTCAACGGCAGAAAGATTTGTCGTTGACAATAACGAATTGCGAATATTACTGACGTCTATTCCAATCCAGTGTTTCAACTTTGAGAATTCGAATTCAGTCAGAAAGCTGATTGTTGAACAGCTGTCGAGTTCCATTCGATTTCTGTTGATTTTTTCAAACTCCCCTCGAGGGAAATTTTTCAAGTATTCTTTTCGCGAAGTGTGTTGCGCTGATTGGAGAAGTTGAACCCGAATGTTTAACGCGAGATAGTTGCGCGTGCAAGTTGAAAAATGTTGAAATTGTTAATTTGAGAAATGAAATTGGTTATCACAAGAAAAACCATGAAACATATATTTTGAATATAATTTGATATCGTCGAAGATAAAAATTGTACGATTATACCGTGTTTTTATATCGTTAATTTATACATTTTGTGTAATTTCTTTGAATGGAATTTTCACCTGGATGAAATCCAGATTCCCTATCGCAACATTGTAATTGATAATCGATAATTATCATCGATTAAAATCTCTACAAATAGAAATAAATATGGCCTCGTATAATTTCGTATTAGGCGATGAATAAACATGGCCAATAAAAACTGGTATTCCAAGTGCAAAACTGTTGATAATACAATAATATAATAGAATTATATCAGAATTAATTGGCAGCACAAATTCGTCCCGAATTTAATCCGTTGGGAAGAACCAAATCTCTGAAATATAGGTTTTAAAACGAGCCATAAATTAAACAATTTTCAAATATCGGGGAGAACCGCATTATCAAAAAAATAAATTAAGAATTTGAACAGAGTACACAAAGTATATTAAACATTTCGATTCGACTCGTACAATTTCCTACAATAATATACAAAATTATTTTTCCACGCATTCCCTCTGCAAGATGAATAATAATAATAATAATAATAATAATAATAATAATAATAATAATAAATCTTGCAAACTCTTCGTTTTCACCTCCCTGAAAACTGGAGAAGAACATTGCCAATACCCCATATATCCTCATCCATATATCCATCCCTCCCTCCCGATCAAATTGTCACCACGTCCCCCTCCTCCCCCTCATACGTCCACCTCGCCCAATCCAATTATTCATCGACCCGTCACCATCGAATCGAACACGTGTCATTAACGACGACCATCACGCATCTACGTACAGTAATAACACACAGGCATGCCCCCCCCCCCTCCCTCCCTCCCCCCTCGACTGCTCCACGTATCGCGGCTGCGATATCGAAGAGCAAACCTGCGTGTTCATCAGGTGGAAAGGCATGGGCTCTCGGGCAGAAATAGGCACGGTTGGCCGGTGGCCACCGGCCTCGAAATCTTCCCTTCCCTTCCCTTCCCTTCCTTCCCCCCGTCGGCCATTACGGCCTTTCGGTTGCCGAAAATTGATTCGACCACGGGGTGGAGGGGAGGGGAGAAGGGGGGTATGCACGCTTCAAGTTCGAACTTTTGTGCCGTTGGTACGTACGTATATTTGGCCCTGTATCGATTTGGCCCAGTTTCCCCGTCCCGCGCGTTTCCGTCCTCCCCCCCTCCCCCCTGCCCCCTATATTTTAGAAATTCGGGCAACGTGCAACGAGTTGAGGGGAGGAGGGGAGGGGGAAATGCTACCCTGTTAGAAATAAATCAACGTTTATTCTTCCCCGGCAATAAGCCCGGGAATGCAGCCACCTGTCCAGCCATTGCTCGACTGTGCAATTTTCAATGCCCGCGAAACGAGGAGAACATTTTTCTTTTCTATCTCTCTCTCTCTCTCTCTTTTTTTTGCGTATTTTAATTAATTCGATGTATCGAATTGTGTACGATTTAAAGATGAATCGTGTTGAAATTTAAGTGGGTGTGATTCCGAGGATATCCAGGGTTATTATTAATGGGAATTAGAGGGAAGGAATGTTGCCCTTTAAAATGTTCCTTTTTCGTTTATTTTAAATATATATTCTCTTAGGAGGAAAATATAATCGGTTTAATCGTTTGCCTCGAGCTCGATTGAAATTTAAATAAGGTTTAAATAAGGAACATAGTTACTTTCGATGGACGAGTGAAAAGTTATTAGAAATCGTCCCCTTTAACGTGCTTTTTCCATTCATCTCGATATTACTTTCGACATTGATTCTCTTCTCGCTGCTTATTCTAATCTCTCGTCTCACTGACCTATCTTAAATTCCAGACAGATTCCTGGAAGAACATAGCGCATATTTTTTCCAAGAGAAAATATAGGTCACTGGGTTGCAAGGCCATTCATAATTTCTGTACCGTCTTGAACGTTATGGACACTTTGGATGCTCCTTACATCTCAGTAATATTGGAATAAAACGAAAAAACATTTCGATTGTTCCCTCTATTTCTCGAATAAATTTTAAAAATAATAAGATATGAAAAAATATAAATTTTATTTAATTTCATTCAATTTTTCTTCGATCATTTTAATATTTTGACCGTTTAATCATTCTGTATAAATCATTTGAGAGATTCCAAAGAAAGAAAAATCGGTTGCATCGATTTAAAATAGAAACGCTAATTCAAAATATCGAATTAAAAAAAGTACTTCTGAAAATACATCAACAATGGAACAATGGATCGTAACGATTCTCGATACTTGTAACGTTTACGAGATTCTGCGACATAAAGAGAGAAAGAGAGAGAGAGAGAGAAATAGAAAGAAGAGGGAACATCGATGACGAAAGAATCGCGAGGGATCGATAATGTTTCTCTGAAGTGTTTCATTGTCGGTCGGTGTCGAAGCGGGCGGTCATCGAACCGATTTCCCTTTTTCTCCTCCTCCTCTATTGCCATTCTTAAAAGCCATTCTCCAAAGAGGGAAACTGTCTACCTTCATCTCGGCAAATGACAAATCAATGCGTCGTTCACGAAGGCAAAATGGAAGTATTACTTCGAATACGTACAGGACAGATCTTCGATTCGATTTTTCCTTCGTTTCAAGAGTTCAACTTCTTGCATCTTTTGAAATATATAATTTCGTTCGTAAAAAAAAAAAAAAAAATGAATTCATAAAAATAGCTCAGAGAGAAATAAACAATGAACGAACAATATCCTCTCCGGCAAGATAAGACGACTTCCTTTTGTCAAGAATCGTGTTCATCGTCCACTTCCCAAGAACAAAGCCTGACGGCCAAAAGTTCCCCGTGGTGTGTTTCGCCGGATCGAGACCATTTTCAAATTGAAATCGATATCCGTTGTCTCCCCGGACGCTTTTCAACGCGAAGAATTATAGGGTAGCAGATTACTCATACGGAATGAGGGCTGATTAGAATTCGAACGATGTAGGTCAATGGAATGTGCGCCGTTACTATCGCTAAGACGTTTCCTGGGGGTATCCTTCATCGCGAGGAACGATGCTGAGTTGGTTGGTTAATGAATTAGAAGTGGACGATTGCGAAGTAATTGGAAAATAGAATATTTTTGATGTTGAAGAGATTATGGTTCTGGGATCTAACAGATATCTTTTATTAAAGTTTATCGAATTCATGTATGTAAAATATTGATATTACTTTGTAATAGTTTCGCAAGATAAATTTCGTTCATCGATTATTCGCCAATTTATTTTCATTTCGAATCAATTTTCTTCTCTTGTAATATCTGTAAGAAAAAAAAAGCAAAAGATATATCTTTCCTAACCTCATTCACTGTCCCTGCATTTAACTTAAGATCGTCTCTCAAACTTGGTGTAATTAAAAAAAATGAATAAAGATTTTCATTGACTTGCTCCAATCCAGAAATGAAATATCAGTACATTAAAAGTTCAATTCAACCAAATCTTATTCAAAATACTTAAAAATCATTATACTCTATTATTATATATTTGTCCTTGAATATTTAAAATTCCGAATTCCTCGTTTCGACAAAACAAACCTGTTCGACAAACCTGTTCAATTTAATTAAAACTCTCTCTCTCTATCCGTCTCTCCGACAATTCTTAACTCCTTCGCTCAATAATACCACGGAACCACGTAGTTAAAGCAATCCAACCACCCCTTTCAACCAACCAAACCTTTCACTCCGCGCTCAAACTTCCTTCCAAACTTCCATCCCACACCCTCCTCAATAATTCAGCGGGTGAAGGGGCACCAGCTTACAGCAAAATCTTGCTCGTGTCGCAGGATGTACCTCCAAGCTTCCATCGGCCCCAGTCCAGGCTGGGATACGAGGAGCGTCCCCAATCTCGCGTGGGATACACCTCGGATTCCAGGTGCGCCAGCGGGCTCGGATACGACGACACCGGTGGCGGATACCTGGACCAGACCGATCCCAGGATGTATTGCACCAGTGGTTACTGCATGGGCGATACAATGATGGCGGCGAGCAGGGGTGTCTGCGGGGAGGAGGTCGAGTTGGACATGAGGAGGCACATCCAGGCGTGTGCCTGCACCTGCAACCACATGGGCTACGGGAACTACATGGACTATCAGGTAAATTGAATTTCCAATTCGTTTATGGGTTTTAATCGGTGTAATAATGATGCGGTGGCGAGCAAATAATTGCATGGGACACGTAGGTTTTAATCTAGGAATCTACGAAGGATGGATAAAAGATTTGATCAGTTTAAGAATTTTGTTCGCAATTGTTATGGAATGTTATTTCGTGGGTGAATCGCTTTTATTAATTGATATTTAATTAATTGTTCGCTGTTATCAGATTATGTGCAAGTATGTTACTGATAACAATCGGTGATTGTATTAGAATATTGTTGAATTCAGGTTTGTAATTTTTTAATCTATACGAAGAAGGAATATTTAAAAACTCTGTTTGTACATGTTTCGTGGTATTGGAAACGCGATAATAAAAGTCGTCTCGTTTCGTGGATCGTTGTGTACATTTATACAGTATCTATAAAGGAAAAATAAAATTTATTCTAGCCACTGTTGGGGGCGAGATCACTGCCAACTATTGTACAATAATTTCGACGTGTGACGACACGTTCAAACATTTCGGCATGTTCAAACATTTCGTGTTTGTGGTACGTTCATCAGAGGTATTATTCGTGGTGGAGGCGGGTGATGTCACGGGTGCAAAATGAAATTTAGCGTTCGCGCCTTTGTTTCGGGCCGGATTATCGGTCGGCGGGAATTAAATTGTTTCCGTGGTCGCGTTCCGCGCGAAAGTGGCGCATTAAACGCGAGAAAATTGAACCGAATAAAATATTCAAGTATTAGCTGTACAAGTCCCTCTCAGAATTTGCATTTTCTACTGCAAAATCACTTTTTGGAATTACATCGACTATAACAATTTTCATCTCGAGAGATTTTAATTCTTTAATTCTTCGTATCTTTTTTTTTTTTTTTTTTTTCTTCATTTTTTAGGATGATAGATATTTGATAAAAATTCTTTAGTGGTCGGGATAAATATGAAACGGATTGTAAATTCTTGACAATTTCGAGGCTAATATATTGATTTTATCATGAAAAGAAGAGTAATTTGAAATTATGGAGATCAAAAAGTCCAATCCCTTCCATTGACAACTTTATTTCCTCGCATTTCGATCAGGATTTCGCGCGAGTACGACTCTAAGATTGTTTGTTCCATTTATGAGCCGAGAACACCCACTTTTTGATCGCTTTCCCAACTGTCGAAAGTAAACGTTTTAACGTTAATGGCACGGTTCGATCTTTGCATAAGAAAATCTGGACGATTGACTCGACAAACGGCGGTTAAATGTCCAACTTTCAACGTGTTCGAACTTCATCGTGTACGAACCTGCTTTTAAGCGCTTGACTCTGAAACTGGATCCTCATGAAACTGTGACGTTGCGCTCTAACAAGAGGCTGAGAGTTTTCGAGGACACGCGGAGGAGGCCTCGATGTCGTTTGAATGTTTTGGAAGAATCTTTGGGTCGTTGATCTTTCCAATATAATTTCAAAAGTTTCGTTATTCAGAGAGAAGTGTTCATCGATCGTGATGAAGGAGAAGAAAGCTTAAAATATATTAATATATTGGAAGATAAGAAGATTATTAGTAATGTTTCTTGTAAAAGTTATTTTATTGATCGTGAATTGGATGAATTGCTAAATAAAGTAGTTAATATTCATAATATTTATCATTGAAGGATAGTTATAGATATATGTGGATATAGTAATGTATTTTGAATTTTGTTTAATATTGATTGTTTTTATATATTATTGAATGATAAATAAAGTGGCTAATATTCAAAAAAGATTCTAATATAATAAAATGTGATATAGTTTATATAAAATATTGTGATTAAAAATTAAGTTTGGAAACATAGTATTTTACATTGAAAAATTACACCGTAATTCTTAACCATCGGTGTAATATATTTATAAAAAATTGTTTTGTATATACAATAAGTTGTATAAATTTTCAATTTATAATTTTTATTTTAATTGCTGAATTAGATTTGCAAAAAAAAAATTTTTAAAATTGAATTTTAAAAATGATTTTCAATTCTTTCTCTTGACACTCGAAACACGCGAAATAAAATTCCAAGAGATTTTCGTGCCTGTTTCGTGAAATCGATCATCATGTTTGTTCTCCGTTCACTCTGTTCAGAGAACGTAAATTTAAAGTACATACTATTAACTTTAATATATGATCAGTTAACCAGAACAATCCACTTGACCTATTATATATCACTTTTTCTATTTTACCAGCTATAGTAACATTTTTGTGCTGAATTAGCAAGTTTGAAAATTTTGAGAAGAGCCTTTAAGCGCTTGGAGAAAATTATTGACCTGGCATAAAATTAATACGACGCTTCAATAATTTCTTGAATATTCCTAAAATATTTTCTATCGTATGTGAATAATTATTGATAATATAATTTTACATCGGTATTATTATTTAATAGAAATTTTTTAACCCTATTGCATATTCCTTATCGAATTGCACGAAAAAAAGTAATTGAAAAATTAGTAAAAAAAAAAACCAGAATTAATGGATCGTTAAATTTCGAGGAAAGAGAACAGAATTATTTATCTTTGAATTTCTAAATCGAATTTCAAAAGAATCCTTCGTATTAAAAAGAAAGCAGAAAGTGGTTCTTCTTTTTTCTGTTCGGTTTTCCTTCTTTACTCAAGGAAGACTCCTTAAAAAAAATTCAAAAAGCCTCACGATTCTTCTCGAGCCATTCTATCTAAACGAGAAGTAAACCATCGTTAGAACGATCCAAGACGAAAAGATTCGAAAATCGACACTCATCGATAATACTTGGAAAACTTGGACAAGATCGAACGAATCAATTCTCTTTCGACTGCGAAATAAATAAACAAACCAAACGCACGGCCAACTCCACGGTTCAAATCTATCACGGTTCGTGCTCCAATTCTTCTCGAGCCCCAACCTCCCCTCCTTTTCCACGAGCTCGTTCAACCTTACTATCGCGAGTAATTCATTGCAGTCTGAAAAATTCACAAAGAATTTCTCGTCTGCCTCCACGCTTCCTGGCTTCTGGCGGACCGTCTTCTTGTCTTTTATATCGGACCCTGAAAATTCTCTTTCTCTCTCTCTCTCTCTCTCTCTCTCTCTCGTGGGTCGGAACCCAAGAGGGGTCGCCATCGTGGCCGCGATAGAATGGAATGGGATACGGAGGGAGAGAAAGAAAGAAGGAGGGAGAAAGGATAAAGAAGGGAAAGGATGATGAGGCGGCACTCAGTTTCCGGCGAAAGAAAGGACCCGACGGCGTTATACTTTAAGTCTTTACGATTACGTACTTGCGATAACGTACGAGCCTCTCTATGGAACCTCGACAAAAGGCTGCTCCTCTTATAGAGGGCTATGGTGGGCGTTTGTTGTCGCCGTGCTTTCTCTCTCTCTCTCTCTCTCTCTCTCTCTCCTCTTTCTCTCTCTCTCTTTCCTTTTCAGTGACGCGGCTGAACGCTTTGGGGGGGGGGAAATTTGAAGGTAGCCTGATGCCACGGGAACGCGTCCAACTGCGATGAGAAAGATCGATTGTTCTTTTGTCGATTCAGGGAGGAAAATGTAGCTCGAGGTTTTGGACAACCTTTGTCCGGGTCGGATAGTGGAAAAGGATCTGGGGGAATAACGTTTGTTCTCGCTGTTTTTTTTCTTTTTGGTGTTTTTTTTTTTTTTTTTTTTTTTTTTTTTTTTTTTT